CACTAAAAGGGAAAACGGAAAAAAAAAAAAAAAAAAAAGAGGAAAGTAGACATGAGATGCTTACTTTTCTGTTTCGCCAGTCATCAAGTGTGAGCTTGAATCGTTCTCCTGTCTGTTTCCACCATCTGGATTCATACAATTATGTCTATGCTCTGCACTTTTCGCCAATCGGTACAGGCTGTCTCTTATGCACAGTTTTGTCCGGATATCCAACTGAAAAAAGCAGCATAAACTAAACCAAGTAAATGCAAACGTAGACACATTCATCATTTCTATTACACATTCTAATGTTTCCTGATGTCATGGGAACTAAGTTTTGCATATCACCTTCGGCACTAGCATCAGAATTCCACTAAAATGAGCCCTTTAGTCACTCTTCTTGACCATGAAGTAAGAGATTAGATCATACATTTGACAACGCATCCACCATTATGTCCTGAGACTCTAATCTACTGTACAGGTTTCTGTCTGTATCATCTTTAATCAGGTGATCAAAGTAAGTATTGCCGCAAAAGCAGCTTTCCTCAAGTGGAACATGCCTTTTATTTGTGCAAATTACCAAGAATCCGAGTCACCAAACAAAAGGTGAATATGTTTTCTAACATTAGGAATCCATGGTACCTGTTCTATCACTCGTTGGAGCTGGCAGAAACTTGTTGCTTCCAGCGAAATGCCATCCATAACAGAGGTAACACAAGAACTCTCCTGTGCATGTGATGACTCCAATTTGGCCACATCTTTTCTGTCCTCATTCTCGTGTCCAATCTTTTGAGCAGGGGCAGAATCGGAAAATACCATCATGTTCGGCTTATTACCGTTCCTGACATTTGCAGGAAAAGAAGGACGTGTATCTCGACCCTGCTGCAAAGTTCCTCTTTTCTCAAAAGCAATCACGCTCGGAGTATCAACAGTTGGACCATGTAAGCTCTCTAACGATTGTGCCTGGTTTGATGTATAGGACTCATTTGAAGTGGATGGAGGATTGGGATTGTTCTCAGGTTTGACACCAGCTTTACTTTCAGATACTGATATTTGATGTGAAGACTGATCATGTTTTAAATGTGAGAATGTAGCATCTGGCTGCCGGAACGCTAATGGAGGGTAATACTGAGAGGTTGAGTTCTCATATTTATGTTCTGCGTCGATTATTTGCCCAGAATTATCACTCTGATGTAATATCATACCATTCTCTGAGTACCGATTTCTTTTCCCATTCAAATGATGCAGATGCTTGGTCTGCTTTTTATTTAGATTGGCCTGTAAGCAAAATTAAAATAGATTAAAGGAAGAACTACAGGAACAAAAATCAAAACCCATTGTAGGATCAATATAGACCTACCATTCCCAGCCCATGCAGGATGCAAGTGCAAAGAGGGAGATTTGAGACTATTGAACTAACCTGTTCATCCAGCATCGAGATATCCTTCTTTTGTGAACTTGTATCAGATGCATCAGCTGATACTTTCCCAAGAGCTGAAGCGGCACAAACGGTAGATCGAGAATCATCTTTACCCGTCTGGTTAGACTCACTATTGGTCAATGACTCCTCATTTTCCAGCGCAGAAGCTACATGATCTTCCATCATTTTATTCAGTTTACAATCATCTGCCATTGCAGATTCAGACTCATCCGTTGGTTGAGAAGAAGAAAACCAGCACAAGTCTTCTTCATTATCAAGAATCTCAAGACCGAAAGTTGAATCGCAACTCCTGCAGCGTGCAAAGACAGGGAAGTGTAAGCTAAGTATCATCATATACCTCTTTCAATTTTTCAAGAGTTCCACACGGAAGATGTCCCACACTTACCTCAACATCTTGTCCACGTCCTCAAAATTTCCTATGTCACTCCAGCCATAGAAAAGATCACTGCTTTCTTTATCGTTGCACCCATTATCGAAAAAGCTGAGATTGTTTTCAGTTGGTGGACTGTAATTGAGGGAATAATTGTACAAGTTGTCATGTGTTGCAGCAGAATTGTCACCCAACAGCGGACCAGCAGCACAGAAGTTGTTCTCAGTCGCATCTATGTGACTGCTGTTGAAACCATGGTTTGACATCTTTGAATCCTCCGATGTTATCTTCTGTAGATCTTTGCTTGATTCAGTATCACCAGAAGCCGGAGATCCACCACTGGTTGTGCCAGGCCAAGGACTTCTTTCTATCATAGCACCAGCCCCAGTTAGATACATATCACTGTCTGTACTATTTATTTCGCTACCCATCATATCATGTCTCCGTTTCTTCCGGCTATTAACTACAACTGCGAGATGATCACTATACTCATAAGCAGAATGAGGCACTATGCCATCACCATCGACACCAAATTCGCCCCAAACATTACCGTCCAGCTGAAAAAAGGGAAAAAAATAAAAGAAACCTTCAGTTATGCAACAAAAAACCAGCCTTAGCCATACTGACAAGAGAGGAAATGCAGAGGAGACAAGTAAACTCTATGCCTTGGGACACAGAACACATTCAAAGAGTAGCAAAATTAATGAAGCGGAGAACAATATAGAGTGTGAGACAGCACAATTCGCCTAATAGATTATTTGCTGTTATCAAACTCACTAGAGGTGAAAAATCCGCAAGATATATTTCAAGACCGTCTAAGAAACGAAGAGCAGCAACACAAACTCTTTATCCACAACCAAGTTAGTAGAGGTCATCCAAAATATGCCCTCCACCACCACCAACAATCATCTTTCTCATGGAATCCTGAAAAAATTGGACGTAAACACAATCGAAACTTTTAGTAGTTCTCAAGCACATTAAACAAGAAAAGAGTAATAGGTGACGGGAAACCTAGGGCTGGCCAATTCGGTTTGGGTTCGGTTTGGTTATATTCGTGTTCGGTTATTTCGGTTATAGAAAAACTATAACCATTCGGTTTTTATATAAACTTTGGTTCGGTTCGGTTCGGTTTCGGTTCGGTGTCGGTAAAAAGTTTAGTTTTTCGAAGAAATTGTCAGTTTTTTTCTCGGTTTTTTCGGTTATTTTTTATTCGGTTCGGTTCGGTTCGGTTTGATTTCGGTTTTTTCGGATTTAAGGAAATCATAACCGTTCGGTTATGATGTCGGGTTCGGTTCGGATACGGTTATGTCTTATTCGGTTCAGTTCAGCTCGGTTATTCGGTTAATAACCGAAATGGCCACCCCTAGGGAAACCTATAATCGGTTTTCTCCCACCTAAGGTGTAGCATCTTAAGAGCCATAAAGAAAGTCATGCTCATCGGCACAACCGAGATACCAATCTAATGCCTACCGATTGAATTTAGAATATAAATATTGCAGGAAATTCCCAGAAATGCACAAAACGTCTAAATAATCAGAGGATACATATCACCAGAACATGAAAGAAGATGCACAATAGACGACGAAGGAAGAGGCTTCTCAAACATTAAATGTACTGCAAAGTACATACAGAACAGCGATGAGCCATAATACTTGAAATTTTACAACCAACTCACCTCATACATGCACAAGTCCGACATTCCTCCGAGATTCTTTAACCACCACTAACATCATGCACAGTTTTCTGATATGTCATCTTTATCGTAGAGTATATAACTCCAATAAGGGTTTCTGAATAAGAAACATACACATTTAGATATTAAACAACTGGAGAAAACTCCAATAATAAAGTATAGCATATATTCATCTCATCAATCAACCATAAGTTTTTTCTCACTCTATAACAATTGAGAAATTTAACAGTAAACATAGTCAAGATGTAAGAATAAATATCACATTTCAACTTGAAAAACTATATGTAGCTTGAAGCACGATTAAACAAAGCCATGGAAGCCTAGAAGGAATGTAACCCAAATCCTACACTTGCACATTCCTCACAGAAATTCATGTTTCCCTACGGGCACTGAACTCTACAGCCCTCAACGGAGTGAGCACAAGCCAAATTCCAGTCATTAACCATCCAATAACAATGGAGACCTGAACTCAACATGTCAATTCTCCTTTTTTTACTCAACAATATCAAAATTCCAACCTCCCATCTTCCACTCTCACTCTCGTTCCTAAAAAATTATATTATCTCACATCATCATAGAGAACTAAACCTTGAAGAAACGACTAATTTGATAATGAACTCCTCGTATTCATTATTTTCTGCAATTTAAGTCTACAACAAGTGAATCAACGGAGAACTAACGATGAAATGGAATTTTAACTACTATTTCAAGGGAAAACTGTCAGAAGTCGCTTTTTTAACGGGAAAATAATAAATGCAAAAACGAATAATCGAATTTGCGCATTTCTTCAGATACTTCTGCTTCTCTTTCGTAAGCGAAAAACGAAAATACAAAATCGATCCGACTCCCACAAGTTTCTAGGCGATCAAACAGCACATACAATCAACGAGAATCCCAACAAAACCAAAACCCTAATTTTCCAACCAAGTATGCTCACCTCAAACACAGATGCTTCCGACAGCAGCCAGAGAGTCTTGAGACGAAAATTTTCGGGAGGAGAAAACAGTTAACCGTAAGATCAGGGGATTGCACAGAGACAGTACGGACTTATCACCAGAACCCTAGATCCAGAGAATCTTAAGTTGAAACCTTCTGGGACGTTCTAGAGATGTTCAAGAAGAAGACGAAGAAGGCCTCCAAATCTGTCATTTTTTTAATATAAATATTTTATTAATTTTCTTGGGGTGAATCAAAAGGCAAGTGACCAGGATGTCGACACGTGGCATGGAAATCAAAAGGTTAATCGAGCGGGGTGTATATCAGAATTCGTGGACGAGAGGGGAAGAGAGGATCCTATCATTTTCCTCAATCTGATTGGTCCACGTTCTGACTCGTGTCGGTTTTCTATTGGCTACGAGTTGTTAGTAATGCACGTGTTCTGGTGCTGATGTCACCCTGGGCTTTCCGTTACCGTTCACCGTTTTCCCATGCCTTCCCGTGTGCTTATAAAGTTATTAAATAACCAAGTTGCAATTACAAATATTAATAATAAAAAGAAAGTATTTGGGCCGGAAATATAACTTAATGGGCCTAGTTCAGTATAAGAGAAAAGCCCAAAGAATCTTTCTGAGCTCGGCCCTGTCACTGTTGTCGGTGTCCCGTCAAATTTCTCCGAGAAGGGAAGAAGCTCCGATAGACTTCGTCAATGGAGGAGCAGAGCAGAGGGAGCGAGGAGAGATGGCGAGGATCTCTAGAGAATCTGACGGAAATGGCCTCGAACCTCGATTCTCTCCAGAAGCTTCTCCTTAAGAAAGCTGTCTTTGTCGAGGAAGATGCATTCGCCAAAGCTTCCCTCGTCTCCGAACAAGCCCGAACGATCAAGGTCCGAAAAAATTGTTTTTAGGTCTTCTTGATTGAATTATTTGAGTTTTATTGGATGTATTGCTCAATTTTTGTGTGGATTTGATGTTTTGGCTTTGCAATTGGCTGATTTGATCGTTCGATCTAGTTGATCATGATTGACCGTTGCGATCGCGGATTGGTTTTAGGTACCGTTCTGTGGTACTAGCTTGGTTTATCATACTGTATGAGTTTGACATGAGATGAGGAATACCAAGTATGCTGTTTGGTAGGTGGCAAAATTAGGAAAATGTTAGTGGGGGTTTGTAGTTCGGGGAAAACGAGTGTTTTCTTGGCCTAATCTCAAGGATGAGAACGATGCTCTTCGTTTCTACGTTATGAGTTGTGCCCTTATCTTTGTGGGGGTAATTGGATTAGTGATCTTAATGGATTCCGGTAGAGCTTGGTATGTTCTGATCATTAGAAACTGTTTGCCTGGTCAGTGGTCACTGGAAAATATAAACCCAGTTAGTGATCTGAAAGGAACGCAGCAGCTTAGAATGCAGGATCACTATAAATTTCTTGCTTCGGTGATCCTTCTGCGATGATTGGGTTTGAATTCCGGCTTTTGCTGATAGTGTGCTGGTGGTGTTGTTTATCTGATGTGATTATGGATGTTCTAAAATCCGAGGAATCTGAACCTTCCCAGTTAATCATGAATGTTATACTGCTTGTCTGGCTAGAAGCCATTCTGTGTACTATATTACTTACCTAGTTTTTGTTGTTTGGCTGTTATCATTGTATATGATAAAACGAGAGGGTTTGGTGCAGATTCTATTACACATTTTAGAGAAATGATTCTCACATGTATAACTGAGGCTAATGATGTAGAAGTACGCGAGTATTTTATCATGTGCTATATATATTCACTTTCATGAGTCTGATAAGCTCCCCTTTCTCGCATTTGTTTAGGTTCTCGAGCAAAGGGTAGAGACGCTTGAGAGAGAACTGGATGCCGCCATCACGGCTGCTGCTCATGCCCGGTCAGAAAAACGCCAGGCCGAGGCAGCTCAAAAGGCTGCTGAATTACGTGCGCAGGAAGTCACGAAAGAACTCGAGAACACCACTAGTATGTATATTCTTGCATGCCCCTCCTTTTTACAAACGCTTTAAGCCTGCCATTGGAAATTTAACCCGAAGCAACCCACAAAGCAGAAATCCAGCGGGTTCCGCGGCCGAATAGGATTCACTTGCAAAGGAAACCTAAGGGTCTACGGATTAGTTTACAGTATATTTACAAGACCACGTATCTGTAGTATCTCCTCTCACTCGGGGTTTAAAATCTGGTGTGGCTAAATGTACGAAATTGCAGAGGTTTTCAAGTTGCATATGGAGGAGCTAAAAGGGATGCAGGAACAGATAGCGAAGCGTGACAATGAGATAAAGCTATTAGAGGCCATCATTCAGACCCTCGGCGGGAAACAAGGCTTACCAAAGTGATGTTTTCTTAATCTTCTCTACTGTAAATTGTACACTCTCATTCCCGTCTTATCACAAGAAAATGGCCTTTGTAACATAATCGTAACTATAAGGGACTGTGGAACGGCGTCATTTGCCTCTTTTTACTCCTCTTTTTTTTAATTAGGTGGTCCATTTTGGTTATTTGGATATTAACCGAATAGCCAAACCTAATCTAAGACATAGTCATAACCGAAACAAATCTACCATAAAAATCGAACGGTTATAATTTTTTAAAATGCGAAAAAATAAAATCGAACAGAACCAAACCGATTAAAAAAATAATTGAAAAACCGAAATCCCAATTGGTATGTAGTTTTTTATAATCAAAATAGTCGAACCGAAATCCGAGATGATCACCCAACGTCGTATGTCGTATGGATAAAAACAGATACATACGCACACTCAATGAGATCAAATATGCTCTCTTGCCAGATTTCATACAGGATTAGAATAGAATTAAAAACTTTTAAGATGCGTAGAATTAGAATATAAGCATCTCTCGCCGTGGAGAAATGCTTATATTCTTAAATCTCTTTTACACGTCGAATTGAACTCTATATGTAGATCACGCGTTCGTGTTTGACATATATACACGTACGTATAGCAATAAATCAAATGTATATGGGTAACGTTGGATATCATGCGGGAGTTTAGCTGATATTTTCTTTCGTAGAAGATTCCTCTCTCTCTCTCTCTCTATATATATATATAGTTGGAGAAGGAATATGCATGAGCATGATATATATGTGAGTCTCACAAAAAAAAAAAAGATATATATGTGAAAAGTAAAAACAGCGACTACTGGGGCTTTTGTGATTTCTTCACGTTGTGGGAGTCCTTTAGAATCGATGGATAAATCGGAATTGTCTCTACATACATTGGATAAAATCGGAATCACCTTTTGTTTAAGGCAAGAAATCTACAATTCATTAGTCAACATTCCAATATGCACGACCACACAAAAAAAAAAAAAAACACCATTTATATATATCGTATGTGAAGAAAAATGGTAAACTTCAATCCATGGCTTAGACATCATTTTATTTTTAACCATACGGCTATCTTTAAGCAGTGATCAAATTGTACGTCCGTATCACGGGCCACGTTCTTTTCATTTTATTCTGTATTCAATAATTCAAACAAAAACTACTTAATGCAATGCATCTAACATAATGTTCTTTTTTGTATTCTAAAGAGACATTACTGTCTTTGATGTCTGACCAAATTGAGAATTTCGTTACGTACACACATAACACATGTACGTATATATATATATATGTGCATGTGGTGTGTGTGTACACATATATATATATATATATATGTGCATGAGTATGTAGGTGCAAATTAAACTCAAAGCACAAAGCTACAAATTGGCCAATGGGTTCGGAGCAGTTCCCTGATGTTTTCACTTGGGTCCAAAATATCCCTCAAATCACAAAATGGTCCTCAACTTCTGTCTCCTTTCGAATTTTCCCCTCAACTTCCTCTTTCCTTTCCTCTCATCCCTCCCTCGATCTCTTAGCGCAGAAGAACCCTAACCCTAAAATCCTCACATTCTCCATCGTCATCCGATCTACTCTTCCTCTGTACCTCTGGACTTCGAACCAAATCAACATCAATCCCAAATCATCGAACCCTTTTGATGAAGAAACCATTGTCTCTCTCATGTTAAACTTCATTCATGATGTCTTGGGCTATGCCTCCAACAGGACAACTTCCACCATCAAGATCCCTAAACCCAGCTCGTGTAACGATCTCAAAGACATTTTCAACCTCGTGTTTCTCACTCTTTCGTTCCTCGTATCGGTATACGAAACTCCCACGTCTCTCCGTGATGACTGCCTCAGCTTTCTCAACGACCATCTGGTTACTTGTCGGCTAAGGCAACCTTCGATATCTCTGATGAAGCTTCTAGGGTCCAACTTAGAAGAACAGTGGATGAGATCTGTTAATCTTGCGGTTACCAACTGGCTTGTGGGTCTTCAAGCCACCAATGGCGGCAGCCGGAGATTTGCATCGTGGCCGTCGTTCTCTTATGCTGTTTCCACTTCTGGGTTGTGGAAAGTTCAGCTTTATTGTCCATTAGTGGCCATGGAGGTGGAAAGAAAAAGCAACCCATTTGTCGATTCGAAGCTGTTATTCTCCTTGAACTTCCACCAGCTCGAAGGAGTGATGCAGTTCAACTACAAGGTTGCAGTTAGAGAGAAGTGGATCGATGTGGTCGTCAAGATCGACAACATAAGGTATGTTATCCTTTCAAAGGGTGAACAGGCAAAACTTCAAAACCTAATCATGATAAATCTCCGTGCAGATACGATGTAATAAGACTTGTAAGCGAGAGACTGATGGCGAGGAAGGGAGCAGGGGAGCAAGAGAAACATTTCCCATCGAGAATATCTCTGCAGCTAACTCCGACCCTTCAGACAAACATCATAAGTGTCTCCGTGAGCAAATCTTCCAACAATCCGGGAAGGGAGTTCGAAGTGGAGAAGAGCATCGAAGGAGCATTCAACCCACCAAACTCGATAGGTCTGACAATAGCCACCAGAGAAGCAGCAAGAGTGAGCATGACGCCGTGGAAGTTCGAACAGTCCGTCCTCGGTTACACGGCAAACCTCAACTGGCTTCTCTACGACAGCAGCCTCGGGGGAAGGGAGGTTTTCTCGTCAAGACCCTCCAAGCTCTCGGTGATGATGAACCCGAGGTCCTGGTTCAAGGACCGGTACGCGAGGGCATATCGGTCATTTACCAGGAGAGGCGGAGTGATATTCGCAGGGGATGAGTACGGAGAGTGCGTGGTGTGGAAGGTGGGGCGAGAAGCCCTGGGGAAGACGATGGAGTGGGAAATCAAGGGTTCCATCTGGTTGACCTATTGGCCTAACACGCACAAGACTTTCTACCATGAAACCCGGAGACTTGATTTCAAAGAATTTCTTTATCTCACCATTGCTTGACACGTGGTTTTCTTTCTGACGTGGCAGTAGTGACACGTGGATAACATTTTAGTTTTATAATTGCACAAGTTCATTTCATAATTTATATTTTCTTCTTTTTTTAATTACTGATCGTGAGCCTAATTTTTAACTAATTACTTCTTGGAACTGTGATTAGGGGTGGACACGGTTACATAAGATTTGAAATGATGAAATTTTTGTATAGAAAAATTTAGAACATAAGAAAATTGAACTAAAATAAAAATATTTTAATAAATAATAAGAATAATTTAGACAAAAATATTATAGATATAAAGTATATTTTAGATTTTTAATAAATATACCGGGTATCCCGAATACCCCTTGTAAAATAATTGAACCTCCACTCGGATTTTGGGGTCGAAAACTTAATCTTATTAATACTCGATCTCATCATCGTTAATATTCGGGTACCCTTTATTTGAATACTTGTTAAGTCGGTACCTCCAAACCCCGGGTTACGGGTTAAAACGCCCACCCCTAACTGTGACATAAAACGATAAAATTACGTCGGACACGTGTCATGATTCTATTGCATGAAATGTGCCCTTCACTGTAGAAGACAACCTTCACCATATGGACGCTTTCTTTCCATTTTTTTCTCCGTCTGGAACCCAACGGCTGGAAAAGAAAGAAGGGGAAAAAATCGGAGAAAAGAAAAACGCTTCGCTTTCACACCTGAAAAGCTCGAAAGGACCTCCCTCTCACACTTCGTACGTGCAGATCGATTAGGGTTTGAAATTTAGGGTTTGTTCTTCTCTCTCAGCTCGAGATCTCTGGTGGAACAATGGCAGATCGCGGATCTTTTGGTTTCGGTCCTCGATTAGGTTTCTTCGTTTATCCTTTCTATGTTTAGGGTTTCTTTTTTTTCTTCCGAATTTTTAGTTTCTCCAATCTGCTCTGGATGTTTATTTGACGTTTGTTAGGTTTTAGTCGTTGTCTTCTGTTTCTCGCGCTCCTACATTAGGAAATGGGTGTTAGGGAAGGAGCCGAACCCTTGTTCTCTCACTGGAGGGGGACTGGCGCATGCCACTTAATTAGGGAATGAGTGTCAGTCGTCTTGATTATCGTGATTATGGGGTTCGTTTTGTCTACTTAATCTAATCGCGAGGAAAGAGAAGATTCATCCAAAAATTTAATTTCTGGGTACTTTGTTTCCGAATTTAAAGCAATTTCTGGGTACTTTGTTTCGGACATACTGGAGCTGTTCCGTGAATTGGGGTTGTTGATGTTTATGTGCTAGTGGTACTGGCGTTTTCAGTTTCTTGCTTTATTCAGTTCGAGGAACGTTTAGAATTCACGTTTTCTCCCTTTTTAACATGTTTGCAGATATAGAACAATTGCTATCAGAAGCTCAGCACCGGTGGTTGAGGCCCTCTGAGATTTGTGAAATTCTTCGGAACTATCAGAAGTTTCATATTGCGTCCGAGCCTCCCAACCGACCACCTAGTACGTTTCTCTCTCTGTTTGGGTGCCTGAATAAGGTGTGTCTGGGGTTGGACATTATGCATGTTATCGTAGGCTTTAGTTTTTACTTGCATTGACGAAAAAGTGTACACAGATTCTATTCTACATGAGCTGTTCTGTTTATTGGTATTACATTATACCACATTTATCGTAGTTAACCGGGTTGCTCTCTTGGAAATATTAGTCAGACTTCTTGCATCCCATCAAAATCAATAAATGAAGTAAAATTGCTATTTATTCTGTAATTTGACACAAGATTCAATGACCTCAGGTGGTTCACTCTTTCTTTTCGATAGAAAGGTTCTCAGATACTTCCGAAAAGATGGTCACAACTGGAGGAAGAAAAAGGATGGAAAGACAATCAAAGAAGCCCATGAGAAATTGAAGGTCAGCATTTCCACTTATGTATCCTCAGCAATTCAGTGCAGACACGTCATTCATGGTTGTCAAACCTATTTGTTTCTATTTCTTATTTTGTGAATGAAGTGACTAATATTAAAATGTATCTAAATTTTGGGAAGTGACATTTTTCAAGTGTATATAGGTGGGAAGTGTTGACATGCTACATTGTTACTACGCACATGGGGAAGACAATTCGAATTTCCAGAGACGTAGCTACTGGATGCTTGAGCAGTGAGTCTGAATTCCAGTTTCTGTTGTATATTTTCGCAAAATTGGCTTTCGTAATGTTTATGTTTCTCTGTCTCTGCTCTCGCTACATTTATCTGCTTTTATCACCCAACTCTTTCCAGTGTAATTGTGCATGGGAAATGGGAATCTCTCTTGTAAATGACCAATAGTTCTTTCCCCTATAATTACAATAAGAACTATCAAGATGTAGTAGAGTAACCTCAACTTTTTGGCTTGTGAGATGAATTCGAGAAAAAAAAAGCTAAGCTTCTTGCTATAATTTTCTTTATAGTTACTTTTTCAGTTTGGTGCTGATATACTCAACCTTGTATTTATATAAGTTTATGTGTCATTTCAGGGACTTTATGCATATTGTTTTTGTTCATTACTTGGAGGTTAAGGTACAGTTTTTCTTGTCAATATTGTTTCTAGATGCATTGTTAGATAAAAAAAATATTCCAGTATTCAAATTTCAACATCACATAATTCCCGTTTTAACGCATATTGTCCATCATATGGTGTTTGTTTATGTTAATCTTACGTTGTGCCTTATGTCATTGTTTTTGTATCCCATGTTGTAACCATCAGGGAAATCGGATGAGTACTGGAGGAATAAAAGAAAATAATTCAAATTCCGTAAATGACACTACATCGGTCCATATTGGTTCAACAGCAAGTCCAACCAGCACTTTGTCATCACTATGTGAAGATGCTGATTCTGGTATGACTCATTCTTATTTTCTGTGAACTGGTTTTGATGACTGTTTGGTGTAGTTATTTTAGAGGGAAGACTGTTGTTTAACCTACTTATTATGCTCTGATGTTTAAAATGTATGTAAACATTAGCTAGTCTTGATTGTGCATGTAATTTTCAACTCAAACTTATATCTCTTTTTATACAGGGGATATTCATCGAGCAAGTTCTAGTATGCAAGCACTGTCTGATCCTAAAATTGTTACTCAGATAGGGGACACACAGGATGCGAGCATATTGAATTCTTATTATATGAGTTCTTTTTCAGGTACTCCTCCCTTTGCTTTCTGTTATGTATTCTACTGCTCAGTATCTCCATTCACCAAATTTATGTATGCTTGCTGAGAATGTCTTTTCTATTCTTTTCCAGGAACTCGTGAGGGTTGGATGTCGGCTCCAGGAGCAGGCGTTATCTCTCAGATTCGTGATTCCCAGGGATCAGTTGGTGTCCCAGTGTGGAGGGCTGCCTTTGAGGATTCAACAACGAATTATCATAATCTGCCTTGTAATGATCTGTTAAGTCAGATGCCGCCTTCTACGACTGGATTGATGCTTGTGCCTGGCATGGAAAATGCTGGTCAAGGTGGACTGATAGCTGCAGACAATGACAATAAGGAGCATCTCAGAAATCCTCTTCAAAACCAAGTAAATTGGCAGGTATTGTAAAAAGATATATATATATATATATATATATATATATATACATTCATTATAGATTTAGTCTCCTAGTAGATTCCGTAAATGATAATACCAAAAGAGCAATGCCATTAGTGACCAGAGATTTACAAGTTGGAGAATATTAGGAGCGGAGAGAGAAAGGGGATCCAAGATCAACTGTATGTATTGTTATATAAAATTCGATTGCTAGTGTCCAAAAAGCAACGAATTAATATTTTCATCATGCACATAGAAAAAAATGTAGAAAGATCTTAAAAGGCAATTGGTTACAGATACATGCTTGGAGAAAAGGTACATGATGCGTATCTTGTGCCTATATTTGATTAAAGGCTGCTTTTCTGTTGTTTATCTACTGATCTATTCAAGCTCCGGGAAGAATGCTTATTATTGATTCTGAGTTTGAGATTCTTTTCTCTGTAGATTCCTGGTCAGGACAATTTACCATTGCCAAAATGGCCTATGGATCTTGTTTCACTGGCTGGAATGGGCGATGGTACAGATCTGACGGTGTTTGAGCAAAGAGCACATAATAGTTTTGAGACATTTTCCAGTCTTCTTGATACTCAAAGACAACAGTCTATTGGGAATGGTATTCAGTTTCCTCTTACAAGTGTGGAATCTGACTATATACCAAAATTAAACCCTGATGATCTACAACATGAAACAAGCACAAGCCTGATGTTACCTAGAAAATCATTGTTGAGTAAGGAGGATAGTTTGAAAAAGGTTGACAGTTTCTCTCGATGGGTTAGTAAAGAACTTGGTGAGATGGAGGATCTGAAGATGCAGTCATCTGGAGGCATTGCATGGACTACTGTTGAGTGTGAAACTGCAGCAGCTGGGTCGTCCTTGAGCCCTTCTCTCCCCCAGGACCAGCGCTTCACCATAATCGATTTCTGGCCTAAATGGGGGCACATAGACTCAGAAGTTGAGGTAATTTAACAGATTGAAGCATTGGAGAAATGATCATATGGTTGAGCTTTCTGTTAAGGCACATTTTTTCATAATGCAGGTTGCCAGCTGGTTTTTATAACTGAGTGTTCATTTTTTGCTTTTACGCTGTTAAGAACTTTACTGTGTTTGTAGCAGAATAGATGATTGAACCTTCTTGTTGATGTCCCTCTGTCAGTATGTTTATAGTCTCTAAAGTTCATAATCGGGATTCCTACTCCATAAAGCTGCTAAGCTTTGTTTTCTGACTTTCATGCTTTCTCTTTCTTTTTTGTCCCTGTCTGGTTTTTCCTTTTAGTTCTTGCCTCTTGGTTTTCAGGGATTTTGCTATTTGTACTGATTAGGAACTCTGTCTTCTTGCCTATCACTCTACCTATCTGATATGTTAAATCTCTTCTTGCCTAACATCCTATCTATCGTTCAGGTTATGGTTATTGGGACGTTTTTGATGAGTAAACAAGAGGTCACAAGATATAACTGGTCATGCATGTTTGGGGAAGTGGAGGTTCCAGCTGAAATTCTAGTAGATGGTGTCCTTTGTTGTCATGCTCCGCCACACACTGTTGGTCAAGTTCCATTTTATGTTACATGTTCAGACAGGTTTGCTTGCAGTGAAGTTCGAGAATTTGATTTCCTCCCTGGCTTTACCAAAAAACTTAATGCTACTGCTGTTTATGGTGCTACTACAAGTGAAGCATCACTTTATACACGGTTTGAGAGGCTACTGGCTCACAGATCTCCTGCACACGAACATCACATATTCGAAGGTGTTGGGGAGAAAAGGAAAAAAATCAGTAAAATCATGTTGATAAAGGATGAAACAGAGTCTTTGTTGCCTGGGACAACCCAAAAAGATTCAACCGAACAAGAAGCAAAAGGTCGAGTTATCAGGGACCTGTTTGAAGAAAAAATATATATATGGCTCATCCATAAAGTGACTGAAGATGGTAAGGGTCCAAATATACTGGATGAAGAGGGGCAGGGTGTTCTACATTTTGCTGCTGCCCTTGGCTATGATTGGGCGATAAAACCAATTTTAGCAGCAGGAGTTAGCATTAATTTCCGTGATGCAAATGGATGGACTGCCCTTCACTGGGCTGCATTCAGTGGCAGGTATGGACTTCAGTCTCATCCCTTCAATTGCTTTGAATATAAATCTTCATTGTATTGGAGTTTAGCTTTTTCAAATTTGAGCTTGATCTCTCTTATTGATTTCTTGTAATATGCTCAGACTAATCTGTCTAGAATTCTGTAACTGGTCTGTTTTTCTTAATGAAACTAACTTTCTTGGTGCTGTTAACTTCAGGGAGCAAACAGTTGCTGTACTTGTCTCTCTGGGTGCTGATGCTGGAGCATCGACTGACCCATCTCCAGAGTTTCCTTTGGGTAAAACGGCTGCTGACTTAGGTTCTGGAAATGGACACAAGGGAATTTCAGGTTTTCTTGCAGAGTCTTCCCTCACTAGTTATCTTGAACAGCTAAAAATGAATGAATCCAAGGAAAACAGCTCTGCTGACTCCTGTGGAGCAAAAGTTGTTCAAACTGTCTCTGAGCGAACAGCTACTCCTATGAGTTATGGTGATGTACCAGAAGCGCTCTGCTTGAAGGATTCACTTACTGCTGTCTGTAATGCTACACAAGCAGCTGACCGCATACATCAAGTTTTCAGGATGCAGTCATTCCAGCGGAAACAGCTGTCTCAATTTGCCGGTGATGAATCAGACATATCCGATGAATTGGCTGTTTCTTTTGCAGCTGCCAAGACTGGGAAACCAGGACACAGTGAAGGCGTTGTACACGCTGCTGCCGTTCATATCCAGAAAAAGTATCGTGGTTGGAAGAAGAGGAAGGAATTTATCTTGATCCGACAAAGAATTGTTAAGATCCAGGTTTGATTTTCATGGAAGTGACCTAGTTTTATCCCTGTTTTGTTTCTCTTGAAAGTGTGGGTGTATGCAGCTGCGTCACTATCATCAGCTATCATGTTCAGTAGCCACTTGTATGATTATCCCTTTAGTCTGAACCTGACTGTGATTCCATTTACAGTTAACATTTCTTAAGAGAAACCAGTGATGGTGACAGTATCCTTTTGTGTGTCTGTCGGTTATACTATTGACCATTTTAAAAGTTTTAGAAAGTAGATTGGTGTGACTCTGTTAGAGTCTCCACATATGGTGGATGTGGGATTGGGACTCTAACAGACTCTTTGCTTTAGCATTATTTTTTCTCATCTCAGCTCTGATTTGCGTATCATCTTGTTTAAATGGGAAAGGTGTATTGTTCCCTGATTTGTTAAGAATTGCTATATGTGTGAGTTGATGGTTGATGTGCTCATGTACTTTATAACTACTGATGCTAGAATGGTTGCTGAGTTTTTTTTTTGTCCTTAATTGATGATCTGGTAGGCTCACGTGAGAGGGCATCAGGTTCGGAAACAATACAGAGCGATCATTTGGTCAGTGGGGATACTTGAGAAAATTATATTGCGGTGGAGACGGAAGGGCAGTGGTCTAAGGGGATTTAGACGTGAAGGTGGTGCAAACGCAGCAAAACAGGCTAAACCCGGAACGAGTTTAACTCAGAAGGAAGATGATGAATATGATTTTCTAAAGGAGGGAAAGAAACAAACAGAAGAGAGGTTGAAGAAAGCGCTGACGAGGGTGAAGTCAATGGTTCAATATCCAGAAGCACGGGCTCAGTACCGTCGGCTGTTGACTGTTGTTGAGGGTTTCCGCGTAACTGAGGTAAAATGCTATTGCTAGAACACACACGCGCTTATTATTATTTGTTTTCATTCATGATGTGTTGATGTAAAAATGTGTATTATGGGGCGGGCAGGAGGCCTCAAATTCAGGGGCGAACAGCAACAGCAACAACAACAACAACAATGCAGAAGAAGGAGATGGAGAAGGCAAAGCGGATGATGATTATCTTCTAGACATTGACTCTCTTTTGGATGACGACACTTTCATGTCGATTGCCTTTGAGTGATTCATGAGTGAGAATGACACCACACGTACATAATAGGGTATCAGGTATCATCATCTCATACTTCCTAACCCAGAAAAAGAAAGAAAGAATAGGACCGTTATGTAGTATTGGAGGATAGTGTTGATATTTGATTTAAATATACTAGGGGGAAGTAGCAAAGTAGCAAAGTAGCAAAGTAAATTGTTTGGTCTTGTTGGGGTAGTTAAATGGAAGAAGCAGGAGAGCAGACAAGTGTTTTACTTGTCTTCTAGGGAAGAAGAGATATGTGGTAACACTGGGGCTTTTGCATATATATACACACACATGTGTGTGTGAATTGGTGTATTATGTTTGTGTGCAGCGAGAGCCAAAGCCCTGGGTTGGTGGGTTGTACACAAATTACATACATGTATGCTATGTTTGTATACGTGTGAATGCATTTCTGATCCAAAGACCCTAGTTGTAAAGGACCGAACCTCGTCGAATCTCAACGAATGTTTGATCTGTGACTTGTTTTAAACAGCAAAGTTGGTGGTGAATTATATTGCATGTTATATATATGTGTATATGTATATGCCCAGATTCGACGTTTAGGTCCTCGCTATCCATCTCATAGCAATGTAAACTTGTTTTTGCTATTAAAGAGAAATTACTAATAATGTGCAAAAGTCATGGCTTTGGATGAGTTGCGATCATACCATATAATATTATATGTATAATATGCGCAATATGTCATTTTCCTTTTCTAGTTTTTCTTGTGAAGATTCGCGCATCAGCCCGAGTCACGGCTCACCGAGTCAACCCTGCTATGTCAAAAAAGAAAATTACACCCCTGCGCACTATAGCAATTTGCTTGTTCTCCTCTTCCGCAAGTTCTCTCTGTCTGTTTTCCTCCTTTAAACCCTGCCTAAACCCTTCTCTCCCTCCCCTCGTCTTCCTCTTCTTCTCCTGTGAGATCGCGTCATGTCGAAGACGCTGAGTCTGATACGAAACAATGCGTCGAATCCGAAGGTGTGGTTGGTGATCGGCGTGACGGTGGCCGGAATCGTGATCCTGGCGGAGACCCGGAGGCGGCGGATCAAAACCCTCAGGCTCGATGACTTCGGCGCTTTCTTGGATCGCTTTGAGCTTCTTCCTTTTCCTCCGCCGCCTCCCCCCGCTGCCAAACAACCTCTCTCCGGCCTCACCTTCTCCGTCGCCGACGCGTATGTTTTTTCCTCTCCCTCTCTCTCCGTTTGACCCTTCTTTCGCATTTCCATTTGACCCGTTTGACTCTCTCTCCGTATGTTTCTCTGAGCTTATTCGGGAGTTCATTGGGGTTTTTTTCCTTCCTTTGGGGGTTCTCGGTGAAATGATCTCGCATGAGCTTTGTGGTTCCGCTGACATTGTATACTTTGCACGAAATCGTGTTGGTAGAAATGGCTATTTGTGTTTCTTCGTTACGTCGGTTTCTTGCTTGCGAATGGTATCTATCTAATATGTGCGCTGTTTCTTGCCTTATGGGTTCTGGAATTGGCAGATTTGATGTTAAGGATTACATCACAGGGTTTGGTAATCCACAATGGAAGAAGACTCACGGGCCTGCTGAGAAAACTGCGGTCGTGGTGACTGCGCTCTTGAAAACTGGAGCTACATGTGTTGGGAAGACGATTATGGATGAAATGGGTTTTGGGTACTTCTCCATTTTAATTCCCCCATCTGATTCTCCATGTTTGCCATGGGAAATTGATGTGAATATTTAGGTTTCAATGTGATTTCCAGGATTACCGGAGAGAACAAGCACTATGGAACCCCTGTTAATCCAAAGATGCCATCTCATGTTCCGGGAGGTTGTTCTAGTGGAGCAGCAGTTTCTGTAGCGGCTGAACTCGTCGACTTTGCTCTTGGTAATGCTCATCTCTTTTCTTTGTTTTTTGTTGCTTGAGCGATAGGAATGCTGGTCTGTCTGTATGTCTTCCTGCACATCTCAATCGCATGATTGTAGTTATCAGAATGCCAGTGGCTTTGCAGGAATTGATACTACTGGTGGTGTTAGAATTCCGGCTTCATTTTGTGGTATTCTTGGCTTCCGGCCATCTCAGGGGACCGTTTCCTCCGTTGGAGTTTTGCCCAATTCCCAAAGCCTAGAAACTGTCGGTATGTCCTGTTATTTTTCTTTCATCAAGCTGCCTTTTTGTGTCAACTACTTTGATCTGCTTCTTAGTTTGTCTAGCAAATATCCTACTGAGGAACTCTCTGCTTGTTGAAGCCTTTCCTTTCTCTGAACTCTGTGGTAACTTATGCGCCTTCCTGATCATTTCTTTAGGATGGTTTGCCCGTGATCCTTCTGTTTTGTGCCAAGTTGGGCATGCATTACTTAGTCTAAACGCAGTTCCGAATAGAAGACAAAGATGTTTTATTTTCGCCGATGATTTATTTGAGCTTTCTTACATCCCTAAGCAGAAGACGGTGCATGTTATCAGAAAGGGAATCGAAAATCTCTCGGGATGTAAGTTTGCCACAACATGGACTTTTTTTCCTTTTCCTTTCAAATATATCGTTACTTACATTTTCTTTATCGCTGAAAAAGATAGCAGCTATGTTTATGGTATCTTCTACCCTGGATTTCTGCAGATCAGAGTCCAAAACATATGAATTTGGGTCAGCATGTTGCTTCAAACATTCCTAGTCTGAAAGGTTTCTGTGAGCAATCTGTGAATTTACAAAATTCAGCATCAACTTTGAAAGTTCTGTCATCTGTGATGTTATCAATACAGAGGTAATTTAACAACCTTTTTTTTTTTTGTTTATCACCACTCTTCTTTTTAAATCTTCTTGAAACTCTGTCACCCTCGTCAACACTATATTGCTCTCTTCTTTCTCTGATTGGTTCTGTATAGGAACTTGGCTGTTTTTCTCTTTTTCTTGAAGTTAATTTGTTTTTTCTTAGTAGGGATTTATGTATTATGAGAAAAGTTTTCTTTTTACTCCAGACATGAGTTCAGAACAAATCATGAAGAGTGGTTTCAATCATGCAAGTCCTATCTAGGACCAAAAGTGTCCAGTCAGGTTCTTGAAGCTCTAAAGAGCAGAAATGAGAACATCAAATCTCTCTACAAAGTTAAGACTGAGATGCGAGCCGCCATTCAAAACCTTCTAAAGGTAGCCTCAGATTCTGGGTTTTTATTTTACTCGATTCTTTATATAAGTGTCTTATGGACCATTCGTTCCAGTTGAAAGCCTATCTGGAAATAAAGGGGCGAAGGAAAAAGTTCCTCTCTGCTAGGTCATTTTTCTTACGACGGGCCACTGCAAAGACTCGTTGCAGTCAACTATGCCTTTTTATACTCTTTAGTATCAAGATTAAAACATATTGTGGTATATTATTGGTAGGATGATGGAGTTCTAGTGATTCCCACAGTCGCTGATGCCTCACCCAAACTTAAAACAAATAAGAAGAACTCCTTGAATGAGTTTCTTGATCGGACCTATGCACTCTCCAGCATTGCTAGCATGTCTGGGTGCTGTCAGGTATCATATAATTGGAGCTTTCTCGCATGTATCCAACTGTTACTCATACCCTTTTTGATATTACTGAGTCATTGCACCATATATGTCACAGGTTACCATTCCATTAGGAAACCATGGTGATCATCCAATCTCTGTATCGTTTCTCACATACCATGGAGGAGATAAATTTCTTCTCGATACGGTGTTGGATGTATACGCATCTCTCCAAGACCAAGCCAGGATCATGTCCACTTTAGCACCCATTTCAGACTCAAATGGTAGTTTGGAGGCTTCTGAACTTTTGAAGGAAAAGGTAGATTTATCTCTATTGATTTGAGCATTAATTCTGTTGACCCAATTATTTACTATTCTCTCTGTGAGACTCAAGCCCTTGTAAGATATTAGGTTTATCAGTTTATGGAATATATCGTTGACCATTGTTGTTATATGAAATTGATTACAGTCGTGGAAGCTTCATTATGGAGAAATTGAAATAGAAGTAGCTTCGTAAAAGCACTTCTCGCTATGAGTCTAAATCTACTTGGTTCCAGATATAGTGGAATGAATCTGAAACACATTGTTGATGTATTTCGTTCCAGGGCAATGCAGCATTCAAGATGCGACAATGGAATAAGGCAGTAAAGTTTTACACTGAAGCTATCAAATTGAACGGAGCAAATGCAACATACTTTTGCAATAGAGCTGCGGCATATTTGGAACTCGGCTGGTAATCAGTTATCTTCGTATATGTAATTTTGTAAATTATGCTACAGCTGTTGTGCTGTTCTGATCAGACAGTCTTTTGTTTGTCTGCAGCTTCCAACAAGCTGAAGAAGATTGTACCAATGCTATTTTGCTTGATAAAAAGGTGAGAACCCGAGAACTTTGGTGAAATCAAAATAAAACAATAGCAAACCATAGAACTTGAAATCATAATCACTAAGTCTGAAAGGGCAAATTTAAAAGAGAATGTGCATCGCCGGCTTCAAAAGAATTTTGGTTTCATGATTTTGTTGTAAAACAGAATGTGAAGGCATATTTGAGACGAGGTACCGCTAGAGAATCGCTTATACGCTATAAGGAGGCTGCTGCAGGTGAGAAACCAGTTTTCAGACTTTGCATATTAATTGAGTAGAACATCTCCTCAGGTTTTTACTTAATAAAAAGAATACCTCCCCTGCCATTTCTTGTTTTTCTTAGAATCTGGGATTTCTTCTTCCCAAATAAAGCATTTTCTATGGAGAATTCCCTTTCTTTTTGTGGTTTAGAGTTTATTAAGGTCGGTCTTGGCGGTACGTTGCTAATTTTCGAGAAAAATAGTTAGAGAAATGGGTATTGTAACCTGAATTACCAAGGATAGCCATCCATAGCATAACTAGAGCTTTGAATTTCCATTGATGTGGGCAGATTTCAAGCATGCTCTGGTCCTTGAACCCCAAAACAAGACAGCCAAGGATGCTGAGAAACGCCTCCGGAGACTTTTGAGTTAGAAGAAGATGATCATTCTCCTCCTCTTCTTCTTACCCGATGTGGCTTTGCTCCAAGACACAACCTCCTCTCTCTACTCTCAATTCCAAAAAACACTGGGAGAAGCTTTAGAATGTGAGGGTGAGTTTTTTTAAATTATTTTGATCGTTTTGATTAGAAAATAAGTTTTTGGACACTGTCTTCTCTACCTTGTTGTTGTTGTTTAATATTGTTCACATCTTTGGGGGATTCAAAGTTACCATTTTTGTTTTTTGGGTTTGTCTGTTGAAAACTAGTATTGGGTGTAAGATAAATTCAAGACTGTTCTTGTGTGCCTTCCCTTGTATAACCAATTATACATTTTTATATATTTATATACTTGAATGAGTGTGTATATATATATATATATTATCTGGGCCAGTGAATGATCCCATATTAGGTTTTCTTCTACCCATATTCTTACCAAAAATCTTGTCTTTGTACAAATCACATTGCTCTCTGTCTCTCTATTAACACTGTTATTATTTTCCACATTCCAACGGGTATGTATCCCTAACTTCAAGCTGTTTACTTAATAAAAAAAAAAGAAAGGAAAATTGGACAAATGTGCCATTTTCCCTTACAGAAATAAAAAAAAAAAAAAAAACTAAAAACACGTTTTCAATGAAACTGTATGCCATAAAAAAAAATCAGAGAGAATTATAGAAATAGCATTTATAACAAATAATAAAAGAAATAACCTAAATCCCACAAAAAGAAAAGTCAAACAGACAGCTCTCGTCTGTATTGTAAGCTTCCTATATTTCCCCCCTCCCCACGAATCCCAGAAAAGACAACAAACGAACAATGGAGAAGCCCTCCGCCGCCGCCATGGCCCCTCAGCTCCTCCGCAACCTCATCATCTCCGCCCTCTTCTTCGCCGACAAGGCCCTTCTTTACCTCCCCGTCAAATGGCAACTCCTCGACAAACTCCGGTTCCTTCTCGTCTCTTGCTTCCTCTTCTTCCTCCGCTCTCTCCCTTCCGTTTTCTGTCCCGACGCCGATTCCTCCAAGGCCTTCAAATTCTCCTCGAAGAATCACGAATCCACCGATCTCTCTCCCACCTCAGCAGGAGGAGGAGACTCGGGAATTGCTCGAGCGATCTCGCAATTGCTCTCCTCCATGAACGAAATCCCCGTGAGCTCGAGGAAGTATGAAGTGGTCCGATCCTTGGCGGAGAGACTGATCGACGAGAATCGCGGCGAGAACTCCGCCTCGTTGATCGATGTGAACCGTAGGGTTTTAACTGCGTCCTTCGCTAGAACGCTTGGCCGGTTAGAGGCGGCGGTCGAGAGAGACCGGCCGAGGGATTTGGGCGAACCGATCCGGTACGGGTTGAACCGGGTGGTGAGGGTGGCGATGAGAGCGGTCGGAGATGGTTTAACAGGTAAAGGCGGAGAAGAGGCGGAGCAGTGGTCGGCGGAGAAGCTCGCGGCGGAGGTGCTGTGGCTGTCGGAGAAGATGGTGACTTGCGGGTTCGGCGAGGAAGCCGTGGAGAAGTGGGCTTCGGCTTCCAGCTTGGCTCGGCTCGCTCTCTGGGCTGAGCCACGGCTCCAAGGCTCCATGGTCCAGATTTCTGGTATGTTCCCTTCCACAAGTCGGTTTCTTATTTATTACGATTCGACTTTCCAGAGATAATTTTCCCAAAATGGTTTCCATAAAAAGACGTAATCATAAATATTATTCCTTAAATAAAACTGCGTAATTATTACAAAATGATGCGAATGCGATCTAAGAACATTGACAATACAATTTCATCACGAAACAACTTGCTAAAAGATTGCGGCCGAGATTTTTTTGATGACCCACGTTGACAATTACTGTTTTTTTTTTTTGTCTATGAAGCTTTCTTGTTCAAGCAAGTCAAGGAGATGGGCAAAGGAGAAGGAGGAGAGAAAGATAAATGGAGGCTGACGAAGAAGAAGATGCTGACGTCGTGGCTGGGGCGACCAAACACATCTGTGTATTCGGTTTCGTCGAATTCAACCAACTTCCGCTTGTATGTTGGATGTGCGAAGCTCTCATGAGTAGCCAAAAACCTAAAAATTTGAAGCTTTGAGCTCAGTTTCTTTGAGATTACGGGAGTTGAGAAAGTAGGATCGGATCAAATCAGACCTAGTGCCAAGGGAGATGCCTTTAGCACCGAGTGCCAATGCTGCAACGTAACCGCGTGCATCAACGATGCCACCAGCTGCGATAACCGGGATTTCACGGTCACCTACCATATCAACGACCCTCGGCAGCAATGAAAAGAGACCGTCCTAAAACATTTTTGACACCGTTTCTTGAGACATTACAAACGAAAAACGAAAAAGATGCAATCGAACATTTTGAATATGGTTTTATGCATACCTGCCCGATAACATGTCCACCTGCTTCACGTCCTTGGACTATAATCGCATCTACTCCTGCATCGATGGCTTTTTTTGCTTCCTCGATGCTCCCAATCTTACTCGAAGGGCATGAAAATTGATCATTTATAAGAGGGATTAACCAAAAAATTGGTGTCTTTTAACTATGATTATTAAGCTGCTAAATATGGCATATATCCATTCGTCGTGGCTGCCATTGCTGTGCAGGGCCAGCAATGGAGCCGAGAAGCCATTCCTGAGAACAGTGGAGCAAACGAAGCTGGAGAGGGTATTGGAAGAGACCATTTCAGAGCTGAAGATAGAGGATCAAGAGCAAGTACTGTCGCTTTGGCTACACCACTTCACGCATTGTTCGTCCTCTGACTGGCCTAACCTCCATGCCTCCTACGCCCGCTGGTGCAGCTCCTCCCGCAAGATCTTTCTCTTCCAATCCAAGTAAGAACCCTCCCTCCATTAGACGATACGCCCAAAGAAGGCATTTAGATGATACTGATGAATCATTACACTTTATATATGAAGATTGTAACATTGATTGAAAATGAAGTTACTTTTTTTTTGTAATATGGAAGGAGGCAGGAATGACAAGTTTTGTATTGGAACCAAAGAAATGTGTTTGGATTTCGTCCCATTCTTTTCCTTTCAATTCATATATTTATTCAAAGCTGAAGACATGGATGGCCATATCAATCCTTTTGTTTGGGTTTAGGAAAGATATTTCTCGATGTGAATGTGAATAGAGATGTCAAAATGGGTCGGGTTATACGGGTCGACTCAACCCGATCCACTTATAAACCCAAATGGTCTAGTCCATTTGGTTAATTTTTTAAAATAAGTTAAATGAGTTTTGTTCCATTAAACCCATTATATATTTAGTTAAAATTGTTATATTTAGATGTATAAAAATTAACATATATAGATATTTATATATATATATATATATATACATATATTTATATGAATTAAATCGAAATATTTGGTATCGTTTTCGAATCAAATCGTACTGAAAAATTCGGTTGTTTTCGAATCGTATCGAAAAAATTGAATCATGTCGAAAATTCGATACTACTCCGAATCGAATCATACCAAAAAATTCGGTGTCGTTTTCGCATCAAATCGTGCCGAAAAATTCGAATCGTATAAAAAAATTCGATATCGTTCCTAATCGAACAGAAAAAATTGGTTTTGTTTCTGAATCAAATCATATTGAAAAGTCGATGATATTTCTGAATCGAATCGTGCCGAAAAATTCGAATCGTATAAAAACCTCGATACCGTTCCGAATCGAATCGTACCAAACAATTAGGGGTGAATATTAAGCTCTGGTGAGATTCTTTATTTTAAGTTTATTGTTTCATCAACAAGAAGAAAAAGGCATTCACTATAAGAAACATATAGGGGTGTACCGGTTTGTGGGTTAGTTCACGAGTCAATCTATATTTTTCTGAGGTAGAATCAAAATATTTGAGCAAAAAATAAACGGGTTGAACGAGCCAACTTGTCACAAATCGAGCTTATGAAGAGCTAGTTCGGCGAACCCACGAGTCAGGAATTTCTTTTTTAATGTTTGATATAAAAATTGTATTTTAATTAGATATTTAGTTTTTCAATTTTTTATTTTTTATCATATTTATAATTTTTTTAAGTATTTATAATATTTTTACATATTTTAGTTTTAAATTTTTTTAAAAAAAATATGCATTTGATTCGATAGGCAATTCTTTTGACAGGCGAACGAACGCGATTTGGATTGGATTGATCAATTTTTGGCTCGTTAAAAAATGGATCGGGTTGAATTAGATAAAAATATTCCCAGATCGATGGACGGTCTATTTTACACCCTTAAAAACAATTAAGCAAGTTGTTTAGTACATTTGGTTGTTGCCAAACCACTTGCTAGAAGCCCAGAATATTGTTGACTTAATCGCGCTCCATTTAAGAAGAATCATATCCTCTCCCAATTCTTTATATATAATGTCCAAACGAACATAATCGCATTAAATATTTTTAATGAGCCATGCATGCAAATTGCTGGCAATGGGCTCGAAGGAGCTGCAGCCCACTGACCAAAAGCTCACGTGGTTCGACGCTTGGCCTGCACCACCCTCTCTCCATCCCTAAGCCACTTGACAAGTTGAACCGAAAGAGGTGACTCATGATCGTTTGATTGCACCGAATCCTATTCTCTTAATCACGTTTGAACGATACTATAACATATTTACCAATAACTTTAACGATATTCCAGATATGTACGAACATATTATACACGACCCCTTTCACTATATATATATATATATATATATAAGTTGCACTTCTTCGTTCCATACAAAACACAGAGGAGGAGGAGAAGAAGAAGAAGAGAGAGGAAGATGGCAAGCAGAATGGAGGTGAGGTGCACATGCGGCCAACGGATGTGGACGCCGCCCGGCATTCAATCCCTTCAATGCTCCGCCTGCAACACCTTCATCCGCCTCTCCCTCTTTCCTGTCCCAGGTACCCGGTCCCGACCATTTCTCCCACCGAGCAAACTCGTCTCGGGTTCAAACCATGTGGGTTATTATTCACGTAGATTGTCTGAAAAAGGATGAGATATTGATCACTGCATAGGGCGAGGTGGGTACGGGCAGCATCAGCCGTGGAGGCAGGGGGGCGGCTTCCCTCGGCTTTCGGGAGAAAAAGAGCGGTGCTCTGTGGCTTGAACTACCGCGGCACCAGCTATGCCTTGAAGGGTTGTATCACTGATGCTAAATCCATGAGGTCCTTCTTGATTCACCATATGGGTTTCCCTCCTGATTCCATCCTCATGCTCACAGGTTCCATCTCTTCTCTTTCCTTTTTCGATCGCTTTTTTGTCAGTTTTCCGAAACAAAATCTTGATGTGCAGAAGAAGAGCCGAGCTCGCAAAGATTCCCGACGAAGAAGAACATGAGAAAGGCCATGCGGTGGCTCGTGGAGGGTAACCGAGCCGGTGACTCGCTGGTTTTCCACTTCTCCGGCCACGGTTCACGTCAGAAGGACTACAACGGGGATGAGATCGACGGTCAGGACGAAGCCCTATGCCCTCTCGACCAGGAAACCGAGGGCAAGATCATCGACGACGAGATCAATCAGACACTCGTGAGGCCACTCGTCCCTGGAGCCAAACTCCACGCCATCATCGATGCCTGTTACAGCGGAACTGTGCTTGACTTGCCCTTCGTTTGCCGCATGGCCAGGTAAAGTAGTAATCACCGATCTTTGATGAAGAATCAATGGATTCTCGATCTGCTTAATGACATGAGAAAGTGAGAATGTAAAACAGGAATGGGTATTACAAATGGGAAGACCAAAGATCAATGGGGGCTTACAAGGGAAGCAATGGCGGAGTTGCATATTGCTTCAGTGCTTGTGATGATCACGAAACCAGTGGCTACACTCCGGTACGTCTATAGTTTCGGCCCATTTCCCAAACCCGAGAAGAAACTCGAACCGAACCCAAGAGTCTTAACGTCTCGGGAATATGAGCAGGTGTTCACGGGAAAAAACACGGGAGCGATGACTTACAGCTTCATAAAGGCGGTGAAGGCCGATCCATCGCCTACTTACGGTGGACTGCTCAGCCTCATGTGCTCTGCCATACGAGATGCCCAAAACAGCCTCTCCAACGACGGAGCCTTTGCCCATTCCGACGAGCCCGCGGTATCGTCTCTTTCCCAACTGGAAGGTCATTGTGCTAAAAACTATATCCCCCCTTCGAGAATTTGCAGGAGCCACTGCTTTCATCCTCGGAGAAGTTCGACATATACAAGAAAAAATTTGTGCTTTGAACGCTCTATTATAATCATGTTTTAATGCAAATAAAATGTTGAACCTTCTACATAAAGGCACATTCTATAACACGCATATGTCTCCGCGTGTGTATATTCTATATATGTATGCATAATGTACAAGTGTTTACACGAGTGGTAAACTGGCGAAACCCGAAACAAGTTCTTTTCTTGTGAACGGTACAATGAAGAACATAAGTGTACTTTTTCTTGAAAGTTTTTCCAGGTAACTCAGTATATAAGATTCACGATAGATATAGAACACGATATAGAGAACTCGAACCTGCGATGTATTCATGCAGAGCTGCTTAAGTTTTGACGGATCAAGCACTGAGCATCATCAACGAGACTTTTCACGACTTCTCCAGCGGGTAAAATCTCCTTCACGAGTCCTACGCTTTGCCCGGCGTACATCGCCATACTCTCTATGTCTCCCGTGGTCGTCCTGTTCGGTACAGTTCCAGCTAACCTTCTTATCTCCTTTTCCTGAATCCAAGCCCCATCTCTATTCAGGTAAGCTCTCTGTTCAAAGAGTGAAAAAACCTAACGTAGGTAACGAATCTTACCACGCCGTGTATGGTGGAACGTCCGATAATAGGCTGGTTAAGTTCAGTTTCATCGCTCGGGAGAGATCTCCAGTCTTTGAAGAAGGGTGTCCGAAGAACACGATGAGGTGCACCAGGCCACCTGGCCCGACCAAACACATCTGTGTATTCGGTTTCGTCGAATTCAACCAACTTCCGCTTGTATGTTGGATGTGCGAAGCTCTCATGAGTAGCCAAAAACCTAAAAATTTGAAGCTTTGAGCTCAGTTTCTTTGAGATTACGGGAGTTGAGAAAGTAGGATCGGATCAAATCAGACCTAGTGCCAAGGGAGATGCCTTTAGCACCGAGTGCCAATGCTGCAACGTAACCGCGTGCATCAACGATGCCACCAGCTGCGATAACCGGGATTTCACGGTCACCTACCATATCAACGACCCTCGGCAGCAATGAAAAGAGACCGTCCTAAAACATTTTTGACACCGTTTCTTGAGACATTACAAACGAAAAACGAAAAAGATGCAATCGAACATTTTGAATATGGTTTTATGCATACCTGCCCGATAACATGTCCACCTGCTTCACGTCCTTGGACTATAATCGCATCTACTCCTGCATCGATGGCTTTTTTTGCTTCCTCGATGCTCCCAATCTTACTCGAAGGGCATGAAAATTGATCATTTATAAGAGGGATTAACCAAAAAATTGGTGTCTTTTAACTATGATTATTAAGCTGCTAAATATGGCATATATCCATTCTGTTCCATCTAAAGGATCAGACTTTCATAGGACAATCTTTTCGACAATCTTAAAAACCCAAAAAAAAAACACTTGGGCTGTCTGATTTCCAGAGATTAAACTCAATGATCCTTCATGGTTTTGCTATTAGTGATGAAAGAATTGATTGGACTTACTTGAGGAACAATCTTGACTCCCGCAGAATGAGCATCATGGACAAGATCTTCTGAACATTCACCCCAATAGACCTGCAAAACCTCCACCTTCTCCTCCAGAATTACCTTTATATTCGATTCGTGGGGGAACGCAAGAACAACGCCAACCCCAAATGGTTTGCTTGTCAATTTCCTTGTCTTCCTTATGAGCTCCCTCAAGTAATCAGGGCATTCCT